ATTTTAAGTGTTTTCTGTTATTGTGGGGTTTGGGAAGAGTTATATAGTTTTTTGTTTTGTTTTGTTTTTTGGTCTTTCGAGACGGGTTTCTCTGTAGCTTTGGGGCCTGTCCTGAACTAGCTCCTGTAGACCAGGCTGGCCTCGGACTCACAGAGATCTGCCTGTCTCTGCCTCCTGAGTGCTGGGATTAAAGGCATGCGCCACCACCGCCCAGATGAGTTATATAGTTTTTTTTTTTAATTATTATATCCACTTAATCCTCTGGACAACCATATTACTCTCCCTATTTTTCTCCAGTGAAAAAATTCAAGAGGTTAAATAACTTGCCCCTGCATTTACCAGGGAATGTCTCCAACAAGGCCAGCTTTCATAGCAGAGTTGCTTATATGGTTCAAAGTAAGCAGGTGAGCCCCAGGCTCTGCCAGAGCAACTTGTGCCCGTATACACATGTTACACACCTCTCAAGACTGAGGAAGGCTGAATGTTTTACTTAGTGCTGAAAAGAGGTTTAAGGCCCGGAGGTGGCTCAGTGGGTAAAGTCACAAGCTGCTGAGCCTGATGCCTGAGACCCACACGGTAGGGTCAGAGAACAGACTTTTGTGTGTTGTCCTTTCACCTCTAAACGAGCCTGGTGGCACACACCCTTCCCCAGATAAACAGGTAAATGTAAAACAATGTTTTTCAAAGAGAAAACCTTTAGAACTAGAGATTTTAAAGTAAGAAATGGGAGCCCAGAGAGAAGAGCTTTGGGAAGCACAGAGGAGTCCCAGCTAGCATACGGAGAGAAAAACCCCAGTGTTACGGAGAGAGCACATGCGTGCTGGGTGCTGCTATGGCCCTCATTGGAGAGAAAACCGGCAGGACTCGAGTGAAGTTAAATGACTTGCGTTTCAAGTCGAGTAGGAAGCACTGTGTCTGAGCTGTGAACTCATGCAGTTTGTCACCAGTGCCTCGGTTCCGAGGCTTGAACCTGAGGCGCAGAGCAGGCGATGCAAGCGTCCCAGAGCGGGTGATGCAAGTGCCCCGCTGCAGAGCACACCCTCAGGCTGCTCCACGTGCTCTCAAAGGTCACGTTGATAGCGTGGAAACTATTGGGGGTATGCAGGGGTAGGTAATCTGGCTTCTGGGTGGCGGTGAAGCATGTTGGCTCCTTCCCCTTTCTGTTCTTCCTCTTCCTCCTCTCCTCCTTTTCCTTCTCCCTTCCTTCTTTTTAAAATCAGGCTCACACTATGTGGTCCTGACTATTCTGTAACTCTATGTAGATCAGGCTAACCTCAGACTCACAGAGATCCATCTGCCTCTGCCTCCTGCTTGCTGGGACTATAGATGGGCACCACTATGCCCAGCCTGCTTTATGGTATTGGGATCTGAGACATTCAGCATTGAGAAGGTGGGAATTATAACTTAACTAATGAAATCATGAGCACAATCCAGATACCCTGGAAAACATTTGTGTGTGATGATGCTTTTCTTTATCTCAGCATTGGTATACCATAACACTTTTTTTTTCCCAAAAGTAAATATGTGTTCTTTACTTTTTCATTTAAATTTTTATTTTTGACAATTTCATACACGAGTAATGTATTTACATAGCCTCCATTCCTCTCTCTCCCTCCTTCTGCACCTTGCCTGGCCCTCCCTTTTCTCTTCTGTAACTTGAAAGCCGTGGATAAGCCAGATGTGTTGGCTTGCAGCTATAATCCTTGCATTTTGGAAGGCAGGGGTAAGAAGCTCACTGCAAATCTAAGGTTGGTCTGGGATGCAGTTTGAGGCCTGTTTCGGAAATCCAAAAGCAAGGAACCAGTAGACAGAAACCCCTGTCAGCATATATGGGCCTTCTTGACTTGAGCCCCTGGGCCGTCCCTTTTCATGTGGGCTAACTTGCGCCAACATGACTGTATCTACTCATTACTGCCACCAGAGATATGCTCTTACTCCATTTGTTCCAAGTAATCTAGCCTTCACCTTCTAGATCCCCCATAGGCTTATTCATTCTGGCTAAAGACCTTCTAGTAGTTCCTGAGGCTACTCCCTACCTACTAGACCCTATCAGCTGGAGGGAGCATATAAATGCTTTCTCTCCACTGGGAAACGTTGAACATTACAAGTGACATGCAGAAGTCGGGTGTGAAAGTAAAAATTTCTAGAACTCGACTAAAAACATTTCATTCCAAAGAAAGAGCTGGAACAAATCCATAGTGGTATAAAGAAGCCAGGGCACCAAGGGAAGAGCTGGCAATTCCGTATGTCTGGCAAAGAACACGGTAGGGAGAGGAGTGGCATGGGCGCTGAGGCTGTAAATGCACGTGGGGACCGGTGTTATTTTCCTGTGTCATCTGCCGGGCCCAGCACTCTGCAGCAAGCTATGGCTCAAGTGGAGATGGCATCAGAGTGGCTTTTCACCAACATGCCATTTTCTCTAGGCAGGAAGATTCCACGAAGCATTTCAACTTTTCTTCTTTCGACGGGGAGAGAAGGAAAGAGGCTGGACATCGATATCGTGTGAGAAGCTAGAGGCTTTGCATGTCGATCTCAGCTGGAGGGCGGGGGGGACAGGAGAGCTATGGGTAAGAAATAAATGGGGGTGTTCTAAGGATCATGTTAACATCAGGTCTCCTTTTTCCGCAGGTGAATAACTTGGGTTCGTGGAAGCTGGCCGTCAGCGTACATTTCTGGGTCCCCATCCTACTGAATGGTGTGGCCGTGTGGGAAGTGGCTGTGACAACCTCACCACAGGTACCAGCCTGAAGTTTCTCTCTCCCCGTTGTTACTTTCTGTAACAACACCGTGCTCAAGAAAATGTCCCCACCCCCACCCCAGGGTGTCTCCTGTGCGTCCCAGAAGGAACCCCCTCAGCATTCTGACTTTCTGACCCAGATTCAAAGGCGTTCTGTGCTGGTGAGAAAAGCCCATGCCCTGGAGGACACAGGGATGTACTGATGAACCAGAGCCATGTGGTCTGTCTGTGGTGTTAGATCCTCTACCCCATGCTGGACAGCCTTCAGCCCCTCTTTTCCTCTCTCTAATAAACACTTTCCTCAGCTTTATTCCCCCCACTTCTCCAGGACTGCTCCATCGCTGACTGCCTGCACTTCCGCTGTGACGTCCCCTCCTTGGGCATCCAGGATGAGCTTGACTTCATTCTGAAGGGCAACCTCAGCTTCGGCTGGGTCAGCCAGGTGCGTGGCCAGGAGCAGAGGTTCCACCCTCCCCAGTCCATGTGCGCCTGATGGCTCTGGAGCATCCTTGGGTCAGGGCGGTTCTTGACCCCTGAGCTCCTCCCAGGTCCAACTCCCAGCTCTGCCCCACCCTCTCTTTTGCAGACATTGCAGAAAAAGGTGGTGGTCCTGAGCGTGGCTGAGGTCACATTTGACACATCTGTGTATTCCCAGCTGCCAGGACAGGAGGCGTTTCTGAGAGCCCAGGTAGTGGCTGTGTGGCAGGCGGTGGCCAGGCTGGCAAGAGGGCTCCTAATGCTCAGTCTGCAGTGCTGGCTGGGGGCCTTGCCAGCCTGGTTGGAGGACAAGTGAAGGGCCTTAGACACTCAGTGTACAAGAGCTTCTGTAACTCAGTGCCTGGAATAGGGGTTGGGCAAGGAAGGGGGAATATTAAAGACTAGGAGCCTGATGTGTGCGTGTGTGTGCATGTGTGTGTGTGTGTGTGCGCACACACAGGAGAGTATGTGTCAATGAGTGTGTGTGAGTGTGTGTTAGTGTATATGTGTGTGTGTGCATGTGTGTGTGTGAGAGAGAGAGAGAGAGAGAGAGAGAGAGAGAGAGGAGAGAGAGAGAGGGAGAGAGAGAGAGGGAGGACAGAGGAAGGGAGGGAGGGAGGGAGAGAAAGGGAGAGAGAGAGCCCTCTTTGGTCTTCAAATCAGGTAGAGACAGTACTGGAAGAATTTGAGGTCTACGAGCCCATCTCTCTCATCGTGGGCAGCTCGGCAGGCGGCCTGCTGGTGCTGGCTCTCATCACAGCCGCGCTGTACAAGGTGAGGTGTCATTTCCAATCATACTCCTAACACTCCCAGTGTGGCCACCAGCTCTGCCGTGCACGAGACACGATAGTAAACACTTGGATCATGGTTGTAGGGCAGGCTTGGGAACACATTCCATCTCTGTCACTTACAGTTTAATTTTAGGTAAGTTGCTTCTCATTTGGGGGCTTTTTTTTTTTTTTGCTTCTCATTTTTTGGAATAACAACAAGACTTACATCACAGATTGGCTGAAGTGAAATAGCCACAGTATGCATGTAAATCTGCCTGACGGTTAATCTGTGCTTTTCTCCTGTAGTTATGTGTCTAACACCTGCTTGGCATACGATCTCAATACAGGACAGCTGTTCACATGCATGTTCCGGGACATGGCTATGAGTTTAGTTCTCTTCAACTTCTTCTCAACTTTCTTCCCTGCCCTCTTACCCAGTTTTTCTGGCTTACCACATTTCATAGCTTGGCTTCTTCAAACGTCGGTACAAAGAAATGCTGGATGGCAAGCCTGGGGCTCCTGCGGCAGCCGGTGAGGCCGATAACAGCTGTGAGACCCCACATCTGCTTCCGTCCTAGGGATCTGCCTTCCCAGGATCTCTACCCGGAGGAGTTGGTCTTGTTTCTGCCTGTGAATCGACTGGCCTGGGAACAAGCACTCTACGGCTCAGGGCTAGCCTGGGCAACTTCCCAGGTGTGATGCCACACTTCCTGAGCTGGGGGTTTTTAATGCTTTTGCCCATGTATTAGACTTCGGTGCTGATCCAGGGGCAGGAGCAAGTATAGGACAAAACTTATACCATGGACAAGACTTACAACCACAACACAGAGTGAGGCGAATATGCTTACCATACAATGCATCGCTTGGATAAAATGTTGTTGTTTTAAATAAAGTGAAAATGGAGGAGGAAGTTTCACATTTTCCTTGTATGGAAGAGCTTGACCCCAGCTGCCCTGCCCTTCTGGAGTCTGCCCCGCCCCCTCTGCCATGATGTTCTCAAAGAGCCAGAGGACACAAAAGTTCCACATCTTTATTGCCCTTGGGACTGTCCCCTGCAACTTCAGGGGCTCTCGCAGCCAGAACACAGGTCAGTTTGGAGACCGCAAAAGAGTCTGTCTGCTTCAAGAGTCTTCATAGCCGGTGGGCAAAGGATTGACGTGGGGGTTGTGGAAGAGCGTGTGGTTGCCATCCCCCCAGGAGAAGGGCTGTAGAGAGAAGGCAGACAGACCGCTACAATTCCTCCCCTGGGACTCATTCCCCCACCGGCCCTCCCTCAGGCTCTGGCTGTACCTTGGTGCGGATGCGGAGGTGGTGGTAGGGGATGAACTCTGGGCGCTCATGGTGGCCAGCGTGCATCCAGCAGTTGAGGGAGCAGAGGGCCACGCTGGGCAGTGCTAGCACAAAGGTCAGGATGCGCCAGGTGTTGGCTGCAGGGACAAAGGAGAGGGTCGGAGAGAGGCTATCCCTGGGCCTAGAGGCCTGGAAGGCCAGTGCCGGTGGATCGGTGGATAGGGTGGATCGGTGGAGGGTAGCCAGGAGAGGGAGCGGAAAAGAGGACAAGAGAACAGATGGCTTAGGCTACTAAGTCACAGTCAGGCCTAGCCCCGCTTACCTCCTGCCCCGCCATGGTCTCCTTTGGCTGCACTGGCCAGGCCCCGACTCAGGACCTTAAAAGGCAGAGCCATTGCTGAGGAGACGCTGGAATGACACTGCCCTTTCCTCTCCCCTTCAGGCAGCCTGGAGGCTGCCCTCCCCTCTCTGAGCCAATCACCTGTTGAGCTGGAACGGAAGGCTATTTTTAGGGGCCTTCTCTATCTAAAGTGGGGCTTGACTGGCAGGAGAGCCTCACCAGGCAGCTGACACAATGTGTGCCTTTCATGTTGGCAAGAGAACATTTCAAGTGAAAGCTGTGCCTAGCTTGGTGAGCCAGGCCTGTCACCCCACCGCTTGAGCAGCACAGGCAGGAGGAGCAGAGTTTAAGGCCACCTTTGTCTGCTTAGCGAGTCCAAGCACAGCAGTTTGAGCTACATAAGACCCTGTCTTTAAAAACGAAATAAAAGATGGCCGGTGGTGATGTCACCTTGAATCCCAGCACTCAGGAGGCAGAGGCAGGCGGATCTCTGAGTTCGAGGCCAGCCTGGTCTACAGAGAGTTCCAGGACAGCCAGGGCTACACAGAGAAACCCTGTCTTGAAAATAACAACACAAAGGGGAGGTAGAAGGGCAATGAGAATGTAGCTTAGTTGGTAGAACGCCTGGAGTGTCTGCCTGCCCAGTACCCACAATGCCCCATGTTCTGTCCCCAGGGCTACTGTAAGCCCAGTGTAGTGGCACAGATCTTTAATGCCAGAACGTGGGATGTGGAGGCAAGAGAATCAGGAGCTCAAGGCCATCCTAGACTACATACCAAGGTCAAAGCTAGCCCAGGCTACACTAGACTCTCTAACTAACTAAATAAAAATATACTATTTCCATAGTAGTGGGGAATGATTTTTACTGTCCTCACGGGCTAGTACAGACTAGACGTGCAATGTGCGTAAAATTAATGAAGTGCTCATTAAAAAAAATATTTATTAGTGTGGGGAATTGAATCCCAGGACTGAGTGCATGCTAGTTAAATACGCTTCCTGAGAGGACTCTAGCCAGCTCAGGAATGGTGAACACGGTTCTGACAGGCCTTGCCCTTCCCTCGTTCTCTCTGCCTTGTTAAAAACCCTTAGATTACATTCCTAAAGCCGGCCACCAAGGTCTATCTTCTTATTTGCCACGTCCTACTCCCGAGGCTGACTACCAAGGTCCAGCTATCAGAGTATTGAAGTCCAGTATTGAAGTCCATCAATCAAAAGACCCCTTTGGCTCAACTAATTAACACACCCCGTTAAAATGAACTGCATCACCCTAACATAGGGTTTCCCATTTTACCTTTATAAACCGCCATTTGCTTATGTGTCCCATCTGTCTCCTCTCTATCCAGAGGCAATCCTTCGTCTCCCTATCAGGTACAAATACCCCTCCTCCTCTCCCTAGTTCGCTCCCTTATCCTCTGTCTCCTGTCTTTGTCTCTTATTCCCTGCCCTCTGTCTCTCTGGAACTAATAAATCTTTAGGCTCAGAACGTGGTCTTGGGGGTCCTGAGCCCACACTGATCCACTTCGTTTCCACTGAGCTCAGCCATTGTCTTTGCTTTGTCTTATTGGAGGACGGACAACGTTGTGGGGTTTGTTCTCTCTGTCTACCTTCAGGTGGATTCTGGGAACCAAGCACAGGTCACCAAGTGTGTTTAGCGAGCACCTTTGCCCACTGATCCATCTCAGGCACAGAGGGAGGAAAGACTGAAAGAAAACAGCCAGAGCTATCTCCTCAAAGTTCTCCCTGTAGGCGAGGCCAGGATCAGACTCATGACCTCCTGCATTACAGGTGTGAATTACACTGTGCTCAGATTTACAGTCTTCACAGGCCGCCTCCAGCTTGGAACACAGTTTGATGTATCTAATCTGGACTCAGTTTGCAGAAGTGAGTCAGGAACAATTTCAGGAAAGGCCTTTACACCCATACTTCTTATTTACTTTAAGTTGGGGCGGCTGAGATGGCTCAGCAGGTTAGGGTGATTGTTGTCAAGCCTGAGTTTGATCCCAAAGACCCACAAGGTGGGAGAGACTCCCGCACATCTTCAAGCCCCCCCCCCACAAATAAACAATTAAATGTAATAGAAACCGAATGGTTTCCACTTGCCGAGGTTCCTCCTTCAGTCCACCTTCCTTGGTGACTCTGCTGGACTATAACAGATTCTTCTGAGGGTCACTGTTGTCCTGGAGCTTAGGACTGCTGTGGCCATGGGACTTTAAGTTCACCTGTCACCTCCCTGTACGCAGTTTCCTGTAACCCCCTCCCTATTCTGTACCACTACGGCTACTGAAGAAAACAGAAAGAGAGACATTTTTACTTACAAAGACTCTAGGTCTTCCTTTTCTCCTAAGAAGCCACTCAGAGGTTTGCTGAGAACTTCATCCCTTCAGGCTAGGCCTGGAGAATCCAAGAGGTTTGCTGGCTATATAACTTGAAAACTGCAAAGGTCACTACTGTCCTCTGTCGCCATCGTGTGGTGCACTTGCCCAAGTACCTGAAAAATTTTATTTATTTATTTAAAATTTCTGTCTCTTCCCCGCCACCGCCTCCCATTCCCCCCCCCCCCCCCAACCAAGTCCCCATTCCTCGTCAGCCTAAAGAGCAATCAGGGTTCCCTGCCCTGTGGGAAGTCCAAGGACCACCCACCTCCATCCAGGTCTAGTAAGGTGAGCATCCAAACTGCCTAGGCTCCCACAAAGCCAGTACGTGCAGTAGGATCAAAAACCCATTGCCATTGTTCTTGAGTTCTCAGTAGTCCTCATTGTTTTTTAATTGTGTGCAATGTTGTTGATTTTTGGGCTGCTCCGGACTGAACCTAGAGGCTGGGCATACTTAGGCAAACCCACACCCCCGGTTCACCTTTTCTTTTCCTCCTTTGGCTTCTGAGACAAGCTCTACCTGAGTACCCCTGTCTGGCCTGGAAGTTAAGTCCTCCTTGGTGCTGTATTTTGAGGTGCTTGCTTCCACATCCAACTGGTTTTAATTTAACTGCTTCTGTGTGGAGACCGTAGCATGGGCACCCGTCACTGCCTCTGAGCTCTCTCTTGTGCCGGTCATCAGACATTGTAGATTGTTTCCAGGTTATGGCTATTACAAACAATGCTGCTATGAACACTGCCACTAAGACAAAAAGGCAACCCACTGACCGGGAGAAGATCTTCACCAACCCCGCAACTGACAAAGGTCTGATCTCCAAAATATATAAAGAACTCAAGAAACTAGACTGTAAAAGGCTAATCAACCCAACTATAAAATGGGGCACTGAGCTGAACAGAGAATTCTCAACAGAAGAAGTTCAAATGGCCAAAAGACACTTAAGGTCATGCTCAACTTCCTTAGCAATCAGGGAAATGCAAATCAAGACAACTTTAAGATACCATCTTACACCTGTCAGAATGGCTAAAATAAAAAACACCAAACGCCTTTGCTGGAGAGGTTGTGGAGAAAGGGGTACACTCATCCATTGCTGGTGGGAATGCAAACTTGTGCAACCACTTTGGAAAGCAGTGTGGCGGTTTCTCAGGAAATTCGGGATCAACCTACCCCTGGACCCAGCAATACCACTCTTGGGAATATACCCAAGAGATGCCCTATCATACAACAAAAGTATAGGTCTTATTTTTATAATTTCCTCTTGCTAAAATACTCTTGATTTTAAATACTATTTCCGATTAGCAAACTTCAAGCTTGGTTTCAAACTTGCTCTGCTTGGAAAGCTCTGCCCTGACATTTTCACAACACACAGCAGACTGTATAATGGAGATGTCGTTGGCCCCTGTATAATGGAGGTGTCGTTGGCCCCTGTATAATGGAGGTGTCGTTGGCCCCTGTATAATGGAGGTGTCGATTGGCCCCTGTATAATGGAGGTGTTGTTGGCCTCTGTATGATTTGATATGTCCATTGGTCTCTGCCTCCAACCTTGTCTCTGTAAATAAGTTACATTTATATTTGAATGGCTACAAACATATTGTAGGCATAGTAAAAACATTTTATAATTTATGAGATGATTGGGTTAATTCAAATTTAAATTACAGGGCGCTCACTGGGAGGTGAAACAGCAGGATGTTCTAGGCAGTGGTCTCAGCCTTCCTAACGTGATGACTCTTTAATACAGTTCCTCATGTTGTGGTGACCCCCAACTGTAAAATTATTTCCTTTGCTTCTTTACAACTGTAATTTTGCTACTGTTATGAACTGTAATGTAAATATCTGTGTTTTCCAACAGTCTTAGGGTGGCCCCACGAAAGAGTAAAGGGGTAGCTACCCACGGGTTGAGAACCGTCGTTCTAAGGGGAGGCAAAATACTGCGGGGAAGCTCTTTAAAACAGGAGGTATACAATTATAAATAGCTTTAAGAAATCCCTAAAACTGATTAGTTTTGCTGCCCATCCCTCCCCAGAGTAAGCAGTAACGACTGCCAAGAGTCGCTCTTAGACAAGCCCAGCTGCGGGGAAGAAGCAGGGACCTGCTGAACTGCCAGGAGGTGGCTCAGACGGCAAGAACACGCAGCAACCTGTTGTGCTTGTAGCCTGTGCACAATGCTCCCTGGGTTCCAGCTTTGTGGCCTCCGGTGATGCCGCTGTCTTTGAGTCTTTTGTGATTCTTTAAGTAACCCCTCCCCCACATTCCCATGAATTGCATTGGTTCACCGAGCTAGACTTCGGTGGCGTGAGAGTGGCCCTTACAGGTTCACAGATTTGAACACTTGGGCCCCAGTTGGCGGAACTGTGGGAAAATTAGGAGGTGTGGTCTTGTTGGAGGAGGCGTGTCTGCGCAGGTGTGCTCTGAAGTTTCAAAGGCGGTGCCATTCTCTCTGCTTTGTACCTGAACTCAGAGCTAAGGCTCCTGCACCATGCCTGCCTGCCTGCCTGCCGCCTCGACCTCACACGTGATGGCTGTGGAGTCTAACCTGTGTAACTGTGACCCCCAAATTAAATGCTTTCTTTCCTAAGTTGCTCTGGTGGTAGCGTTGTGTCATGGTAAAGGAAAAGTAGCCAAGACAGGTGACCTTGCTCTGCTACTATCTGGGATGGATAGATGTTTATCCGTATCTGAAGGGACTCCCAGCGGGAGCATAGCAGACAGGGCTCTGTCAGGCCTTACCCTTCTCTCCAACCCCCTCTGTTTGCTAAAAACCGTTATGTTACATTCCTAAAGCTAGCCACCAGGTCTATTCTCTTAGCTGGCTACTTCCTCCTCCTGAGGCTGACTACCAAGGTCTAGCTATCAGAGTATTGAAGTCTGGCAAACAACGCCCCCATTTTGGCTGCCCTAATTAACATGTCTAATTAAAAAATGAAACATCTCATCCTAACACTGGGTTCCCCCTTTTACGTTGATCAACCACCATTTTCCTTGGGCCATGTCTGTCTCCTCTCTATCCAAGAGCAGACCTTTATCCCTCTGGGACAAATACCCCTTCCCCGCTTCCCTCGTTCCCTTCCCCTTCTCCCTTGTCCTCTATATCCTGTCTTTGTCTCTTATTCCTTCCCTCTGTCCCTCTGGAGCAAGTAAATCTTTGTGTTGAGAACTTGGTCTTGGGCTGGCCTGAGCTGATACCAGTCCCTTTTGGTATTCCCCTGGAAAAAGTATGTCACATGGCAGTGAGCTTCCTAAGAAAGCCTCCTAATGGTCTAATGTCTCTTTGGTGGGCAGTCCTGTGAAAGCCCTTCCCCAACAGTTGTCTTTCCAAAGAACACTCTCCATAGGATGCAGCCAGTATCCTCTTCCACCTCTGTGGGGTGGGCTGCACTGGGACTTGGGGCCCAGTCCTGGCACCCTACCTAATCCTGCGGACTCCCTATGAGTTTGTCTTTTTCTCCAAGAGAGTATAGAGTAGAACTTAGCCATTCTGGGAGTCAGCGAGCCATTCAGAGGAAGTTCCAAACATACTGTCAGGGAGCTCTCATTTCTTTTTCTGAGACTGGGGAGCAGCAGCACGAAGGGCTGACATGGAGGAAATCTTGCTGGGGTCTCCATTTGCTAAGGGGGAGACAATTCTCAGGGCTCAGAGATAAGCCAGTTCTTTAATCAGCGCACAGCCGTAGCCTCTCCTATCGTTAAAGGGGCCCAGCCCAACCAGAAATATTTTATAAAATATATACAGGACTAGGCATTGCCATAATCTTGTCTACGTGGCATTTTACAATTCTAAGATCTTTTTATCCCACCCAAGGGAGGTTTTTCTCAGCGCTAAGCAAGTTTTACAGAAGCGGAAATGTGCAGGTTTCTAGTTACAGCAGTTTTATATTTAGCAAGCAGAACTGGCTAGCTGTGCTCTTTTCCAGAAGAAGGAGAAACACACAGCAGGTTTAGAAAAGCAGTCTTCCATTTACAGCTCTGTGGTCTCAGATTGGAGGCATTAGTACTACTCTGTTTTCTTCCTCTGGTGCAACCTAGTGTTTATTTCCTAAATAAGCTTGCGAATCATACTTTGCTAATGTTAACGCTTGCTATTTCCCTTCTCCACCTTAGCACCTCACTCTTCCTGTGCCACCACAGCCATCCCTTCCTATTAGCCCAGGATTTCCTTATCTTACCTCCAGATTACAGTCTGTTTTCTACACGGCCTTTATTTGGGGCGGGGCGGGTTCATTTTCTTTGTCTTCCGATTATTTATGCAGGTTGTGAGAGGCGTATTTGTTACAGTTGTATAGCGCTTCCTAGTTTGTAGCAAGGGATACTAAGGACATGTTAGACTTAGAGGGGCACACTGGGATAAAGAGTAAGGTGCCAGACCTCTAGCTAGGGCTTTACCCCTCCCCCTAGGGCCCCATCTACCTGTCTAGGGATCTTCACCCCTTAGCTCTCTTAGGCTGGTCTCAGGTAGCTCAGCCCAGTGCTTTGTTGTAGATCTCTGTATCTGCTTCCATCAGTTGCTGGATGAAGGCTCTATGATGACATCTAAGGTAGTCATCGATCTGATTACAGGGGAAGGCCAGTTTAGGCATCCTCTCCACTGTTGCTTAGAGTCTTAGCTGGGGTCATCCTTGTGGATTCCTGGGAATTTCCCTAGGGCTGTGTTTCTTGCTAGACCTTTAATGGCTCCCTCAATCACAATATCTCTTTCCTTTCTCTCCCTCACCATCCTTCCCCTTTCTTGAACATCCCATTCCCTCATGTTCTCCTCCACCCTTCCCTTTCACCCTCTCTTCTCCCCCTCCCTCCTAATCTTCTCAGGAGACCTGGTCTGTTTCTCCTTCCCAGTGGAATCTATGAATGTCTGTCTTAGGGTTCTCCTTGTTACGTAGCTTCTCTGGAATTGTGGACTATAGGCTGGTTATCCTTTGCTTTACGTCTAATATCCATTTGTGAGTGAGTACATGCCATGTTTGTCTAACTGGGTCTGAGTTACCTCACTCAGGATGGGTTTTTTTTTCTAGCTCCATCCATTTGC